CATTATTTGCACTTTTTCTCGTAAATTAACAATAAGTAAATTCATCAATGAGGGGTTGGATCAAGTGGCAAGCGGCTTGTTTCAGCTTAAATAAGGTCTCGAGTTCGAAACCTTGTGTTCGTAGCAGCCTTCGTTGGGAGACCCACCCACCATTTTGGTGCGCTACAGCTGGTCGAGTCCGGAGTAATCGGGGCGAAACCCCGGATACCGGGCGGGAAACCAACAATAAGTAAATCCAATTGCAAAAGAGAGAGAGAGAAAGAGTTAAATTGTGGTTGCCTCTTTCTGTTCTCTTTTCTTTTTTTCTTCTTTTTTTTTTGGTGAACACTAATTAATATATCTTTTGTTCAATATTTTGTTCAATATATTTATTAAAAAATTATGATTTTTTAATTTAAAATTAAAAGCAAATAAACTTAAATAGTCAAATATGCATATAATATATAGGAATTGGTTATATTTATATTATATTTTAATTGTTGAACTATATGAAAATAAAAAAATGTGTTGAGTTTAATGGTGTACCAATCATTTTCATTTTAAATTAGTGGATATTAACTCGATAAAGCTTTTGTTGGTGTCTTTGCTTCTTTCTAGTTTGTGACAAATGCACTTTGATTTCATATTTGCCATCCTACTCATTTTAGAAGTATTGTCTTTATAACAAAAACTATCTAATAGTATGCTTAATTTAAGGGGAGGGGAGGTGAATGAAAGAATGTCATTTCTTTCCATTTCCCTCACTTTTATCCGTTTTTCTCCTCTCATTTGGATGAGTCAAAGAGTAAAAGGAAAAAATAATGTAAACAACTTCTCTCCCCTCCCTTCCCCTGCAATTTTTTTTTTATCAAATAGAGGATTTATTTCTCCTTTTTAGTCCCTTTTCCTCAAACTAAACATGCACTAAGTTTGTGTTCCAATAATAATATCATTATCTGTTCATTATCACTAGGAAAGCAAAATGAGATTTGGGTGTATGACATGTGAAGATAAAGTAAACTAAAAGATAAAAAACAGTCATTTCTTATTTACAGCCTAATATATATATATATATATATGAAAAAAAAATCCTCATTTTGTTAATGCTTTTAAATATAGAAACGATTTTGTTAATGCTTTTATATATAGAAATGATTTCGCGAGAAGGCTAGTAAAGAACAGCATGAGGGTTCAAGTGTATGCATGTGCTTCTGTGACCATGAAAGTGATCAAGAAGAATATGGTTGCAAATTACGAAAGGCTAGGTACAATTTGGCACATCACATGGCAAATCTCACATACATGAACAGGCTCAATAATGTGAGGCTTTTGGATTGATTGGTTAAAAACCTTGATTAGGATTTTGAAAAGGCGCCTATATCAATATAAATGGAATTGAATTCCTCAGTGGAAATATCACTTTAATGAAATTGAAATAATTATTGATGATTTAATTGTACTACCATTCTTTGCTTACGTACATTGCATGTTAATGATTAATTCGGCGCTTTGGTTAGCTGAAATTTCAATTGATTGGACTAATAATTAGAGCCGTTCCAAGCGTATGGGATAAGGACACCGTCCTCTCCCAACAATCCCATTGAAATGTAAAAAGAGAAACGAAATTATTATACCACTTATTATGTTTGGGAAAATATTGATATATTAAATCATATATTTTTCTTTTAACGTGGTTTTGTATTGGACAATATTGTCGGCTATTTTAATAGTAAATAATGAGATTTATTAGTAAAAAAGAAATTACAAGAGATAATTCTTAAAAAACTCTGCATCTGAGACTTTCTATACCGTAATAGCTAGCGGATTTTGTCCGTATGGAATTTGACAATTACGTATAAAGAACTCAACTATTATTAGAGATAAAAAGATCATATTGTAAGCACAGCATAAGAGTAGCTATGCACCAACGAGGAGTTGGATCAAGTGGTAAGCGGTTTGTTCCAGTTTAAGTAAAGTTTCGAGTTCGAGACCTTATGAATGCAGCAGCCCCCGTTGGGAGATTCACTCACCATTTCTAGGTGCGTGACGCGGGTCGGGTCCGGATTAATCGATGCAAAGTCTTGATACCGGACGGGAAACAAAAAAAAAAAAAAAAAAAAAAGAGTAGCTATGCAAGCATCCTAAGCCATAAAGTACTTTCTCTGTTGTCACGCCAGCTTTAGGGGAGAACAAATTTACGGGCTGACGAATCACTTTTAAAGCCAACAGAACTAGTTACATGAATCCTTGATTCTCTTATTATATATGATTTTGATAATCTTGAGCCAAGCCATTTTATTGAATGGCTCACGACTTTTTCCTGAAATCAGTTTCTAAGAAGGCCCTTAGGATGAGGGAAGACGCCTTAGTTTAAGGACATGAAATGCAATAAAGTACAAAAAAGAATAAATTTTACACATTACATTTATGTAAAATCTTGATTATTTATATTTTTATTTTTAATGGTTGAGATTTATCATGTCTTTTTAGATAAAAATGATAATTTTTAATAAATATAAACAAATCTCAACCAATAAAAATAAAGAGATAAATGATTGAAATTTTGTGTAAATATAATATGTAAAACTTATGTGTAAATGAATATTTGCTTTATACTTATAATTCATATATCCATGAAAGATTGCTTACTGCAATTGAGAATTAAATATAAAAGGTAAATACTCAAAAATTTCAAACTAAATATAAAAAGTAAATATTCAAAAGTTGCAAACTTTACCAATTGAGCCAAGCCCTTATAAAGCGTACTAACACATACATATCAAGACATACATACATTATATATATATGTATATATATGTATATATATAAACACACTACATAACATGGAGAATGGTACCAACGCCCAACAACACATGGAAGTGGCACCAAGGGCCGGCTTGACCCATGTTCTTGACTCTTTTTGTGTTTTCAAGGACGAAGGACAGAAGAGGCAATGGCCACCTAAAAATTTTTTAAATCTTTTTATATTCTTACTTTTTTTAATTAATTGAACCCACAAGATTTTATTTTTTATAAGTTAACCCTTGAAAAATTTTTTAGTTCTCCTAATGTCTTGCTTAAGGTCTGTCCTTGTGTGTGTTGACTCTGCTTGGTGTTGGGTCAAATCCTGGGCTACTTGTGCTTATTGTCGTGTTTGTGCCTTTGTGGTGGCCACATGGCAGCATTAACTCAGAACATGCAAAGATCAAATATCTGACTACCTAGCTATTGAGTTGCATAATTCATGATGACCAAAACTGATTTCTTTCACAAGGGGTTGCAATCATGCGATGTTGCATACTGTTATCATATATAAGACTAAAGGTGTTCTAGTTTAATTTACAGTGAGTTTGCTTCTAATTTTATTGAGTAAATTTTGATTTTTTGAGAATGTTAACGAAAAAGATGATTCTTCATAAACTTTTTATCTTAACGTATATGAATAATCTACCTTTGATAGGATGGAAGAGGAATTAGTCTAAAAAAATTGAAATGCATGCAAACAAAAATAAAAATACAATGACTACTAAAACAAAACTAAATAAAATAAAATAAAAACATACAAGAAGGGGCCACGAGGTCTATATCATCCCACATCAGTTAATTTGTTTATGCACCCTACATCCCACACTCATCACCATGTGCTTTGCCAACTACTTGATCTTGACCTTTCATTAATTTAGGCAAATACATTTTGCTAGCTCTGGTATGTATGCAATACAATAAGTCATGGGAATATTGTTGCAAAAATTAGTAATGACCCCAAAACTTAATGGTCTCCTCGTCTCAAAATAGTAATAGGTTTTTAACTTTTGCATATGTTTTTATTTATATTATCTTTTTTTTAAAAAAAAAAAGATTTTGATGATGAGGCTTTTTTAAAGGCAAAAAAGGATTTATTTATAAAAAAATTATTAGCATATTTTTGGTTTAATATATTTAATAATATTTATCAGTTCAATCATTAAATTTTAATAATAACAATCAATTAAAATTAAAAATAATAATTAAGTGAATGATTATTTTCAATAAAACTAAAAAATGGCAATTAATTTAAAATAAAAATTTCAATAGAAAAATAACTGTGCGGGAAAAAAAAGACTAGCTTAGTCTCTTTACTGAAATTGAGATAATGAAAG